AGAGATAATATAACGAGAAATCGCCATTTACATTTTATCTACTCGATGTCGATTGCTACAAGAGAATTTTATATCGTGTTGTATGCCATACCAAAATACTTGGGGAAAATTTTTCTCACCATAGGATGTTCTTCCCATTCTCAACATTCTAAGCTTTCCCTGCAATCCATACCGAACTTAGGACCCTTGCTGAAACGTATATCACCGGTATACTTTGCATTACAGAAACATGGGCACGTGAATTATTATCGAATGCATTGCTGTTTATCGTTAATTATAATCTATATCGACAGAAACATCCAAATAAACGAGGGGGAGGATGTCTGACCTACATAAAAACCTTCTTTGGACTAGGTGATTTTGACGTCCCACGTGAATTATTCGGGGGAGAGCGTGTTTTGTTGCAACACACATTCGGACCTACAGAAAATACTAGCCGGATGTTTTTACTCCACCCCAGAATGTGACCGTGCGTCCGTCGATTCCGACGATGCCCACCGTGTGCTACACAGTAAGGTGCAGCGGGCACGGTGAATGAGAGTGAATTGATTTATAACGATAGTAGACTTGCGCAGCATCTGCCGCACTCTTTCTTCCATGCCCAGACCCGGCGTCATGATATAGTCAAGAATACCGGGGTGGGGCAGGGCGCATGTGGCTGGCACGGTCTAGCCCGCACTCTGAAGCTCCATCCCCACCCTCTGGTCCACAGAGCAAATAACCAGGTTTTTGACGAACAACAGCAGCCCAACAAGAGGTCAGAAGAACGAGGATGACCAGGCAGCCACGCCCACCACCTGTATACCCAGCGGGAGCGCAAACATATCCACCGACAGGGAATCGGGTGTCAGGGAACTGCCAGCGCATACCAGGCTGCGAGGGCCATGGTTTGCTGATACTGGCATAGCACACGCTTTCAGACCTTTTCATGCAGAAGAGAGACACATATCCCTGCATTTAGCCTGGGCCGTCGCCCTTCAAGTTTGGGTAACTAAACAGTCGTCGACTGAGAGGCACTACCCATAAAGCACACTCGGAAACACAAACACCACGCACATACATGATAGTGTCACAGATCGCTTGAGAAGGGACCGTGACAGCCTGGCTCTCAGCCCACCAGACCGCCACCCCACACAGCTCACACAAGTGGGTAGACTGCGTGGACCGAGTTGAGACTTCAGTCGTCTGTCTTCCAAGCCATGGCTCTCTATGCACCGTGGCAGTCTCAGACTCCGATCATACATGCAGCAGGGGAGCCGCATGGAGAAGGAGTCGAGATGCACACTTCCCATTTGCGTGGGACGTTGCAGTTGGTTGCTTGTGGTGGGTGATGGTGATGTGCGATTAGACGCTGGTGATGGAGGATGTGATGGTGTGGTGTGGCCGGCGGTTGTCTACCGTGGGTTATCGTGGACGCGCATGTGACCTAGTAAACCCATATGGTGGATGAATGTGCGAGTGCGGTGCGGACAATGGGTGCAGATGCGGCGAGTGTAGGTTGGTGCTCCAGGCACTGGTTCGCCAGTCTCTGAACAATGGACTCGCAAGCGACCGACAAGGCCGATGTGTGAGGTGAAAGTACGATCGCAGTGAGGACAACTACAGACCGGGTCTTCATCACTGGTGCTGACGGTGATGGTTTTGGTGTTCGTTGGTGTGTCAGAATTGTGTGTAGTATTGATGGGCATGGTAGACGCCAGAGCCGCAGTCATTAAGGCGTGGAAGAGGAG